GCGGGCCTAAGGTGTGGGAGATTGTAGGCGTGGCGCAACTGCAGACTGCCTTTGGTGGGTTTCGTGGGCGTCGGCAGGGAGACGAGGGCTCTGAGTTATAGTTTAGTTGGTCTGTCTGAGGAGAGGTAAGTGGTTATGAGATCTTCCAGCCTTGACTTTCCCAAGATTTTTCGTCCCCCAGAGCTTCCTCCATGGTTAAAATTTGCTGTAGCTTCTTCCTAGATGGGTGCTCCTTGGGCAGGTGATTTCACCTAAGTCACAATGTTCTGGTGTTTAGAGCTGCTTCAACAATTCTGTGAGATGGTGCACCAGGACCCAGCCTGCCCCTGCCATGCCCTGGCATTATTAATCATTGCTGCTACCATTATCATTGGGCCAGCTTCCAGGGGTGGGCACTATCCAAGCTGTTGCTTGGGAGAGGCAAATTCAGCCTCTCCACACCTGTGGCTGCATATGGGCGAGTCCCTAGCAGTTACTGTTTAAATAGGTGGTGGCAGTGGGGGGTTGGGAGGGACCAGGCTTAAGCACCTGGCATGGACAGGCACATGCCACAGGAGCCTCTGCATTAGCCACATGGAACCAGCTTACTCCTGTTCTCCTGGCCCCTCGCCATCACCTCTTTCTGCCAACTGAGAGGTAGCCTGGATTTGCCCTGCCTCTCTGGCCTGGTTGCTCATCCCCACTGTGAGGTGATGGGGCCACTTACCAGCTTCCGAAGGGCTCCCTCGTCTAGCCCAGCTAATGCCTCGTCTGCCATCTTGCTTGCCTCTAGCTCTGTCTGTCTCCAGTGCCCGTGGCACCTGTCACCAGCTCAGAAGATTCTGCAAGAGACAGATATGAGTCAGACCTATTGGGGCTTTTAGAAACCACAGGCATGTAGGCTCTGTGCCTTAGTTTCCCTCTCTAACACATGAGCGTCTCTTATTGTCCCATCCTTGCTATCCCATCCTGTAACGTGGCTCCTGGCTGTGAGTTGCTCTCTCCCCTAGGGTGGTTTGATGGAAAACTCACCAAACCAGAGTACCGGTCCCTGGTTCCAGCCTTGCCAGCTCGCTGCCAGTCTGCTGTGTGGCCTAGGCTGGGTAGTCATCCCGTCTAAACCTCAAACAGGGAAGCAGGGACCTGGATTGAGAAGCCAGGGCCCAGCAAGGCCCACCCAAGCTGTGCTTACCACCAGGGGGTGCAAGCCAGTCTCCACCATTTCCTGCCCCACCCACCCATCCCTAGGGCCTGACCAGCCCCCCCAACCACTCTGAAAGCTCAGCCTCTGGCTGTAGGCTGAGCCCATATCCAAGTCTTTGCTGCCATCACCACTCTTATTCCCCCAGGTATAGGAGGTACACTGCGTCTTCTGATCTTGGAGCCAGTCCTCTCATACACTCCTTTCCACTCCTCCCCTCCTTGCCTTCTCCCTTGCTAACTGACTTTATGAAGTGAAGCTCCCAGGCACCCAGAGCCTTCTGCCAATTCACACACTTAAAATTCAATTCCCCAGCTGGAAAGGTCTTCAGAAGCTGACCCACCCAACCTCTGGATTTCAGGCAAACTTAAAAGATCGGAGAGGGCCAGGGATTTGACACAGGGGAAAGTGGAACTCAAAGACTCAGGGGTCAGGAAGGGATTTATTTAAAACTTTGGTCATCTCTAGCTTTTGAAGTCCCCTTCCAAAGAGTCCTCACGGGCCCAGGGGGTGAGGACTGGTGCTCCTCTTGCTTGCCTGGTGTCCAAATGGTACCCCTAAATCCTGGCCCATCCTCCCAGTGCAGCTCTTTTTCTGAAATATGAGTGCCCATGGTCTGGCACACTGTAAGTACTTAGTTGATGTATGGTGATTAAAATGGCCTCAGGATCCCCCCCTCCTCCTGCACGTTGATTCATCCCTCAATCATATCCCTTCCCCCTTTTCAGAACAGTCACTTGGCAAGTCACCCTATCTGGTGGATGGGTCTGGGTGTGGGTGGGTACTAATCTACACAGTTAGGGTATGTGGGACTCTGCCTGTTCAAGCCACTGCTTGCTTCTCTCATCCTGGTAGGCTCAGATGGGTATCAAACTCCCAACCTCTGTTAGGGTCCTTTTCTCTTATCTATCTAATGTGGGGTGAACTCCCTCAAGACTGTAGCTCTGAAGGTCACCAGCCTTGGGATCTGTGGATACTCTGATTTCCCTACGTCTTTTCTTCTGAGGCTCAGAGGTCCCTAGTGCCTAATCTAGGATACCCAGGGGACTGTAAGTCTCTTAGGCCTCAAAGATTCCCAGCCACAACCCCTCTCCAGTCCCTTGACTCCCTGTTACACAGTCTGGGGTCGCTGGACATTTTGTAAGGGGCCTCAGGGGTCTGTGGGAGCTTCCCCAGGGTATCTGCCCGACAGAGTGGCGCCCCTGGGGGGCGTGGAGCCTCTTGGAGGAGGGAGTCCTCTCCCAAGGTCTCAGAACTTCATTCCACGGCTTAGAGCTCTCGTAGATAGGTCGAAACTCCCAGGTCTGAGAATTCCAGAACCCCTGTCCAGATATCCGGGTTCCACCGCCCCTGAACCCGTCTGGGCGGCACCAGGAGCGCTCCCCCCGCCCCCGAGATCGGCACACCCACCTCTCAGTCCAGCCCACCCGTCTGGCACGTGCTTGGGTTAGCTTATTCGGGACCCGGCAGATGAATTGGAGAGGGGCAGGCAAGAGGTGCCGCGACCCGGGGTCCCAGGCCTGCTCAGCAACGGTCCCCTAGACTGCTCTGGGGAAAGCCGCCTGTCCAGCTGCGCCAGCTGTCCTATTGGCCCCGCCCCACCCCCGCACCAGCCAATCCTTGGCTGGGTACCGCCCATCTTCGTACCCCATTGGACAAATTCAATTTGATAGCCACGCCCCCAAATAGGCCCCGCCCCACGCGGGCCTAAGGTGTGGGAGATTGTAGGCGTGGCGCAACTGCAGACTGCCTTTGGTGGGTTTCGTGGGCGTCGGCAGGGAGACGAGGGCTCTGAGCTAAAGTCTAGGAGGGCGGCCTGAGGAGAGGTAAGTGGCCTGGGATCTTACGAGTCCCAGAGCCTTCAAGACAGTTCCTCTCCGCCCTCCTCTTTGTTCGTGAGATCATATCCCCTCCCTCAGCTCCACCTTCTCCTCGCGTCACTGCTTAAACTCGGCCGCCCCTTCAGGCTGGTTTTGGGACACCTGGTCCTGGACGCCTTAGAGCAGGAAATGAGCAACTGGCAGCACCTTGACTTGTGCTGGAGAAACATTTCTGGTGTAGCAGGGTCGATCATACCGCACGCCTTACCAAGTCCACGCACCTTTGCCGAGACATTGCCTTCATCTGGCAAGCTTCTCCTTTTGGAGAGCTGGGAACATCATTCAACAAATGGGGGAAACTGAGGCCCAGAGAGAGGTGACATGTCCAAGATCAAACAAGGAATTAGCCAGGGAACCCAAAATCTCAGACCCACTGGGGAAAGCTACTCCATTTTCAGTGCTGGAGGCCCTGAAGCTGCCCACGGTCTCCACAGAGATCAAAGAGGGTAGGGGACTGAGGGAAGGGGTCTAGAGTCCTGTCTGTTGAATAAAAATAGTAACATAATAAAAATACCAACTCATTTATTTTGTATATGCCATGTACCAAGCATGTAATTCAAATAACAACAATAGGACCGGTTGTGGTGGTGGCTGTAATCCTAGCACTCTGGGGGGCAACAGTAGTGGCTTGCTTGAGCTCAGGAGTTTGAGGTTGCTGTGAATGATGATGCCATAGCACTCTACCCAGGGTGACCAAGTGAGACTCTGTCTCAAAAAAAAAAAAAAAAACAAGACCAGGATTATTGTCCCATTTTACAGATGAAGACAATAGTTTCTAGGTAGTTGGGATATAATGTATACCCACGTCCTTCTGAGTCCAGAATCTGTGCTTTAGACTACCATAGTGTGGGATTGAGGGGAAGTGCTTTCAGCCTGTTGTCCCAGAATAGCCCTGGTCCAGATCCTCTGAGACACCTCCAACCCTATCTAGGGAGAGGCCCAGTGTCCACTCTGAGACTCCTTTTCATGTGTCATATCATTTCATCCCCACAGCCCTGAGAGGTGGTCCCACTTTGCACATAGAAAAACCAAGGTCAACACAGGGAGAGGGGCAAACAGAGCCGAATTTGGAGGCTATAGTTTGAGATCCCAGGCCCTCTCTACCTGGCCTAGGTGTCAATTTAGTCTCTGGAAAGAGGGTCAGTACCCTACAAGGTCGACTCTGTCATACTTCAAATCCCACCACACCTTGGGACTGCCACTTAGGGCAGGGCACACCTAGGACCCCTCCCATTCTCAGGGCCTGCCCCAGTGGCAGCTGCAGCCTCCCATGAATCACCTGCTTTAACACCAGCTCTGCCTCATTCTGCACCCAGTCCCCTCCCCTGTAGGTTTGGAGGAATCACACAGGTGAGTTCATGTATGCCTGGACTTCCCGTCTCCCACAAGCACTCACTGGAGGCATGGAAGGGATGTATGAGTCTTGTCCTGCTCTCAAGCCCTTAGGGCCCATTTCTACCTGCAGGCCTACCTGCCTGCTTCTTTCTGTTTCTGTCTGCAAGAGGTAGTGGCAGTAGCCTGATGGTGATCTCAAGATCAAAGGGCAGCCCACTGAGGTGCTTGGGAAATTTATGACCACAGCCCAGAAAAGAGTAAATAGTGGTGAGGAGGGCCCTGGCACTTACTGAACACTTGTATGTCAGACATGGGGCTCCCACTATTTCAAGTTGATCATTGTGCAAGATAGGTATACTATGGTCTACAGAGGAGGAAGTTGAATCTTAGGGAGGAGAAGGCACCCTGCACTGGTAATAGCATGCAAACTTCAGTGGAATTCTGCTGAAGCCCCTTCTTTCTGTCACCCTGCTGCCTCTAGGATGGGGGAAGTCCTAGAAACCTTCCCAGTGGAGGTGGCATCTAAACTGGTCCTTGAAGATGAGTGCAAAGAAATTTACCCTGCAGAGAAGAGGAGGAAAGGCAGGGAAGGGCATTTGTAGCAAAAGCATAGAGTAAGCAAAGAGGCTTATGAATGGAGAAAGCAGGGAAATGGGCTATGGCTGAAGCAGGAAATGGGAGTGACTCCATCTGTGAAGGAGCCTAAGTGCTGGGTGAACAGGTTGACGGTGTCTTGTGGGCACCAGGGAGGCCTGGGCCTCATCTACTCATCTGTAAAATAAGTAGTTAGGCTGGCCTATTTCAGGCTTTTGAAGAACCTAGAGTCCAAATTCTTCCACGTCCAACCCTGGACTGGCAGAGTGGGGAGCAGCTGAAGTGGCTTAGGGGCCAAGGGTAATATTTTGCTCCCGAGTCCAAGTCTGAGACAATGAATATTTTACCAAGCTATTGGTGTTGGATCTCTTAGTCATTCTGGCTTCTCCTGCACCCGGTCAGGCTCCTACAGAGAAAGCCCAGGCTGGGGTGAGGCAGCAAGAAAGGTCTTAGCCCTGGCTCCACCCCAGGCAAGGCTTGGTCCCCCTGAAGCTCAGTTTCTTCATTTGCACAATGGAAAAATTGTACCTCGAGCTCCCTAAGCCTCCTCTCCCCAGCCTGAACAACATAAAATTCCAAGACTTTCAGGGAGACCCCCCCCCCATGTTAAGATGTGCCCACAAGTGGCTGAGGCCAGTTGAGGGCAGGACCTTGGGGGCTATAAAGGAATCCAGGGGGCTTCTGGGCAGTAGAGGGGATGAAAGAGTTAGAGATGAGTCAGAGTTGGGCCTGGATGGGAGTCTCAAAGCCCAGTGGTAGTAGGGAAGAGACAATGCTTGGATTGTAGACGTTTTAGAGGACGAAGCTCTCACTTGCTTTGATATGTGGACAGAATGGGGAAAGGCAGCCTGGAGAAGGGAATGGGATGAGCAAAGGAAGGGAGGACTGTGAGGGCCTTGTTGAGGAATAGTCAGACAGGGTGATGCCAGAGCATGACTTCCCTAAAGAGGTAGTTGTTCTTGCTGAGGTTGGCTGGATCCAAAGCTGTGACTCTCCTCCGCATGGGCAGAACTGGAGTCCTCCTAGGTCTTCAGCCTTAGGAGTGGATTGAGGACCTGCTTGGCAAACCAGTTTGACAAGGCCATCACATCCATGATGTCATGCAGCTGCTGTGTTCTCTGAGCCAGAGTGCTAGACAAACTTCTGGCCTTGAAGGGGGAGGAGAAGGGGGCTTGAGAGGTCCACTGGGGAGCAATGAACTCCAGAAGATTAGCTTCATAGACAAAAGAGAGGGTTCTGGATGGACCTCTTGTGACTTCTGTAGCGTTCTTGATACCTGGGGGAGGTGGGTCTAGGCTTATGACAAGGCCCTGTATAACTGCTATCCAGTAGATTGCATCTTGGCTCCCAATCAACCTTGTAATACATGTGTGGCAATTTTGTTATCATTATTACCCTCACCTTGAGTCCTAAAAGGTAGGAGCACCACCATTAGATATATCTCACACACAATTGGAACCCAGAACCTTTGTTCTTAATCACTGTACCCCACTATCCACCATTTGGGAGCTCTACACGGATGGAACCTTGTCAGAATTTTAGACTAACCCTTCTCTGTACTTGTAAATGCAGCAGGAGAATATTGGCATCACAGAGTCCTAGATGCCTGCCTTATGGTAACTAAGTGCCAGAATGGGCAGAGGACAGGCATCAGGTCACAGAGCAAGTCAGGGGTAGAGTCACTCTGTGCCTTAGGTCCCCAGCTTCCCAAACATTTGTTTCCTTTTCAGGGTTTGACACAATAATAACTGACATATATTAAGTACCCACTCTCTACCATTCATTGATTTAACTGTCACCACAGCCCTGTAATGTAAGCACTAAAACTATGCCCATTTTACAGATACAGAAACTGAGGTTCAGAGAGGGGAAGTCATTCATCCAAGTTGACACAGCATGTTGGCGGTAGGGCTGGGATTTAAACCCAGGTACATGGGCCCTTCCCCCTCAGTGGACCCAGTAAGCCTGAGCAGATGCATGAAGACCTGCAGACAGGAGAGTGGATGGCCCCTTTGTAGCCTTTGAAGGCAAACTGTGTCCAATTCAGAGTTTCCATGCAGTCCTGGCTTCTCTGGGGCAGGCAGAAAAATGCTGTGGCTGCAGAAATGTGCTGAACCTTCCCAGAGGAGGCGGTCACAGTGGGAGGGAGTGCTCAGCCCCAACCTCAGAGCCAAGTGTAGACGTGGCAGCTGGACCAGCTGCAGGCAAGGGAGGGCAGGCAGGGTGGGGCCCAAACCCAACCCCCAAGCCATGTTCCCAGCTATCCACCAGCTAAGCCCGGCCCTGCCCGCCCTTTTTATTCCCCATCTGGATTTGAGATGAGGGCGCTGGGCCTAATAATAGCCAAATGGCAGCAGAGGCAGTGCCTGGAGCCACAGCTGTTGGGGGTTGGGGGTCCCTCATTTTGTCATGTTGGCTTTGAATAGGCTTCAGAACTTTAAAAATAATAGCAACTGCTTATGAAGCTTGTACTATGTACTGGGCACCATATAAAACATAGCTTAAGGTAATTCATTTGTTCCTCACAACCACCTCTATGGGAAAAGACTGTTATTAGCCCTTTGGATGGATGGAAACACTGAGGTGCAGAGAGTTAAGCCACTTGCCCCAGATGATGATATGAGTTTGGCAGCTTCAGAAAATGCCGAGTATGAACGTTCCCTCCTGGCCACTCTACCAAGTTCTTTTCACGTAGTCTCCTATTGATTCCCACAGCATTATGACACAGATCCCAATTTATTTAAGTGAGGGAAAAATGACGTCCA